GTCCCAGCTACTTGGGAGGCTGAGGCAGGAGACTCACTTGAGCCCAGGAGTGGGAGGTTGCTGTGAGCTGTGATGCCACAGCACTCTACCCAGGAGGATAGCTTGAGGCTCTGTCTCAAAAAAACAACAAAAAAAGAACCAATATTAAGAATCTCTGAGGGGCTCAAACAGCTCAAGAAGAAAAAAAAAATACTATTAAAAAATGAGCAAAGATATTAAGTTTTTTCAAAAGAAATAGCCAACAAACATATGAAAAAATGCTCAATATCCTCAATCATCATGAAAATGCAAATTAAAACCCTAATGAAATACCACTTTACTTCTGTCGGAATGGCCATTATAAAAAATTCAAAAAGTGTGCTCACCTCAGCAGCACATATACTAAAATTGAGACAATACAGAAAAGATCATCATGGCCCCTACATAAGGACAACATGCAAATTTATGAAGCATTCGTTAGTTTTTATTAGGAGAATATCTCCTCTCCAACCCACCCAGCAATTGAAGCAACACCAAAAATATATTACCGGGATCTGATCAAGTGAAAAAGGTTTTGCACAGCTAAGTAAAGCAAACAGCCTTCAGAATGGGAGAAGATTTTTGCAGGTTATGTTTTTGACAGAGGTTTCATAACTGGAATCCACAGAGAACTCAAACTAATCAGTAAGAAAAAACAAACAACCCCATTTCTTTATGGCAAGAGACTTGAACAGAAACTTCTCTGAAGATGACAGATGCATGTAAAAATGTTCATCATCTTTAATCATCAGAGAAATGCAAATAAAAACCACTTTGAGATATTACCTAACACCAGTAAGATTAGCCCACATAGCAAAATCCCAGACCTGCAGACATTGGCATGGATGTGGAGAGAAAGGAACACTTCTATGCTGCTTGTGGGACTGCAAACTAATACAGCCTTTTTGGAAAGAAGTATGGAGAATTCTCAGGGATCTAAAAGTTGGTCTACCATTTGATCCTACAATATCATTACTAGGTATCTACCTAGATGAACAAAAAGCATTTTACAACAGAGACATTTGCACCAGAATGTTTATTGCAGTCCAATTCATGATAGCCAAGTTATAGAGGCAACCTAATTGCCCCTCAACCCATGAATGGATAAACAAGTTATGGTATATGTATACCATGGAATACTATGCAGTCATAAAGAAGAGGGAGACTTTACAACTTTATTTTTACCTGGATGGAACTGAAACATATTCTTCTTAGTAAAGTATCTCAAAAATGGGGGGGAATAGTATCCAATGTACTCAATACTATTATGATATGAATATATAAACACACATTCATATGAATGATAAAATACAAAGATGGTCCAGAAAGAAAGAGGGGAGAAGAGAAAGAGGGGAGAGGAGGGGTAGGGTCTGTGGAGGGAGGGTATTTGGCAGGATCTCACCTAATGTACACAATGCAAGAGTACATTTCAAAACAACTAAGAGTATATTATAAATGTCATACCACAAAAATAAGTGAGGTGGATGTTATGTTAATTAGTTTGATTTAAGCATTCCAGATTGTTTATCAAATCATCATATTGTACCCCATAAATGTATACAGTTATGATTTAGCAAAAGTTAAGTTTAAAAAGTCAAAAAGTGATAATTGTTGGCACAACTGCAGTAAGAACAGTATGGAGATTTCTCAAATAACTAAAAGCAAATCTACCATTTGATCTAATAATGTCACTACAGAAAATCTACCCAAAGGAAAAGAAATCAGTTTATACTTTAAAAAACCCACCTGTGCTCTTATATTTAAACACAATTCACAATAGCAAAGATATGGAACAAACCTAAGTGCCCATCAACTGATGAGTAAATTTAAAAAATGTGACATAGATACTGACACACACACCAGAATACTACTCAGCCATTAAAGAGAATAAAATAATGATTTTTGCAGCAAATGATATGGAACTGTGGAGACCATTATTATTCTAAGTGAAGTAACCAAGAAACAAAAAACCAAACACTACATCTTCTCATTTACTAAAGGGAGCTAAGCAGGGGTACGTACATATGTTCACACAGAGTGACCTAATGGACATTGGATACCCAGAAAAGGGAAGACGGGAGGGAGTGAGAGATAAAAAATTGCCTATTGGGTACACTAAAAGCCCAGACTTCACCACTATATAAGTTACCCATGTAATAAAAAGACATTTGCACCCTCTAAATCTATTAAAATATAATATTGTCAAAATAATAATTAGGGAACAAATCAAACATCTGGTAGTATACCAATTCTACTCTTAGAGAATTTTTATTCCTCCATGTTGCTATGTTAGAGAATGGTGTCTTTTGTATATTGCTTTTTACACATATATACACAAACACAAATCTATATATAGCATATACACAGAAAAATATAGATACATAGTCACACCCATATTTTAATATATATTTTTTAACCCAAAACACACACACACACACACACACACACACACACACATATACACATAAATTCACAGGAGTGTATAGGAAATCTTTTTTTAAAATAATAGCTCTAGCAAATATAGAAAGCTATGTTTTTCTTGAATTTCAAACACCATTAACTGATCACAAATAAAGAATTACACTAAAGACATCTACATAATTTCTATATTGGGAATGTTACAGTCTAACTATCTTCCCTGACACATAAATTTGGAAACCATATATTGAGATGATCCACCACAAGATAAAAGGAACTTGGATCCCTAAGTCATCAGGTGAAGAATAGCCTCCGCCTTTATTCACATGGGACGTGGCATGAACAATAAATTAACATTTGTTGTAACAAATCAATGAGCATCCAGGGTTTGTTATTATAATAAAATCTAGACTAATCTGACCAAATAGAAATGGACATGACTATAGATAAGGAAAAAATAAATGTCTATCCTGAAAATTCTCAGCCGCAGGACTGCCCTCCTAAGAACTTAAATTACTAACATCCGCAACAAAACAATATTACATTGTTCAGAAAACCCCTAGATAAGAAATTAAAGTTGTCCCTAGCTGATAGCAATTCCTGGATATTGTCAAAATGAGACTGACAACTAATACAGATGAAAAACACCCCCAAACATTTGTCCCAAGTGATAATTATACAACTACAATGTATGAAGAAATAAGCTACTATTGAGAAAAGCAGACTTATTCCACTCTGAACAAAAAGCAAATTATATACCCAATGACTTCAATTGGGATTGAAGTCAATCAATAGAGAATACAATTTCTCGAAGTTACAAAACCCAAATGTGATGGTTAATTTGAGTTGTCAACTTGACTATATTAAGTGATACCCAGATAATTGGTAAAGCATTGTTTCCAGGTATGTCTGTGAGAATATTTCCAGAAAGATTGGCATTTGAATCAGTGGAATGAGTAAGAATGATTTACCCAAACCCAATGTGTGTGAGCACAATCCAATTCACTGATGGCTCAGATACTGCATAGAACCCAAAAGCAGAGGAAAGGTGAATACACTTTCTTTCTCCAGGGGCTGAGATATGTGTCTTCTGCTCTTAGACAGAAAACCCCCAGGATCTCTGGCCTTTGTGCTCAGCAGCCCTCCACATTCTCAGTTTTCAACCTTAGATTGCAAGTTATACCATCAGCTTCCCTGATTCTGAGACCTTCAGACTTGAACCGTTCTACCAGCTTCCCTGGTTTTCCAGCTTGCAGACAACCTATGAAGAGATTTCTCAACCTCCATAATTAAAGGAGCCAATTCCCATAATAAATCTCCTCTTCTCTATCAGTCAATCAATATATCTATCAATCCACCTATCAATCCCCTCTTGTTTCTGTTTCCCTGGAGAATTCTGATGAATATGCTTTAAATTTGTGAAAAAAATAAATGGCTGATTCAAAAAATTCAGAACAAATGCACTGCCTGATGTAAGTAGACATATTTTTAAGTGAATCAAATAATATAACAATTGCAATAAAAGACACTATAAATACATACAATAACAAGTTAGAGATGCTTGAAAATATTATTTATGAACAGAAAAATAGCCTGAAATAAATTAACCAGGAAGACAAAGAGAAGTTAAGAGACATGGGGAATGGTGCTTATTTGTGCTTATTTTTATTTGGAATATTAGACAATACTGGAGAAATGAGAAAGAAGCAAGTCTGAAAGAAATTATGGCTACAATTTGTTCTGAATTGATAAGGAGCATAAATCCACTTTAGGAAAAAATATACCTCCTAAACAGAATAAATAAAACCAAACTTGAATGAATCATAATGAAAAATAGAGCATCAAAGACAAAAGAAGATATTAAAGCACCCACAGAGAAGATAAAGATTACATGCAAAGGAATGACAATTAGACTGACTCCATTCAGGTAAGTGTGGATAATAATATTTTATGAATAATTATTTATAAATGTAAATACAATGCAACAATACCTAACACTAGAGCATTTATTTATTCAGCTCACTATACTGACACATTTTTTAAAAATATGGATCATCTTACAAGTGCATATTAAGATGAGACAATTTTCTGTTTTTCTGATGTCACAAAGGACAGGAAAACAGATAACCCCATATAATTGTACATTCTAAAGCAAGAGTTTAGTCTACCTTCTGCAGAATTACCAGAAGAAATGGTAGAAAACTAAAATTTTCAGAACAAATAGTACAAAACCAATTTGGAGAACTTCAGCTCATCATGTAATATAAGGACATACAAAAAAGTAGCTAAAGAGTGAACAGCTTGTTAAAGAGCTACTGGAGAAGATTCCTTAACAGAGTGTTATTGGAATGTTGTGCACTTCCTCATGACAACTGCCAGGGAAAGCAGGGAGAAGGTGTTGGCCAAGAGAAATAGAAATCTCAGGAAATGTTTCATATATGTGCAGTTTAGAGCTTGGACCACACACAGATAGCTTCTTAAACATATCTGGAAAATACAGAAGTGAGAAGTTGTAGACTTAAGACAGCAGAGCAGAGATAGGCTGGTCTGAATTAGGAGGGAGTGGAACTTCTGCTGGCATTTTTTGTTTGTTTTGTGAGGGAGGGTTTGTCCAAAAATGCCACCCACATGGAACTACCATGATTAGGATTCGAACCAAAAAGAGAAATGGACTCCAAAAGGCAGGAATTGAAAGTTGGAGTCATAAATGCCAACTGAAGGTGATCTAGGAATAAGAATTGAAGTTTTCAGAAAGGAAAGTTTCTGAATACCCCAGAAATGATCTACAGAAGAAAAAAGGAAAATTTAGCTGCCACATCCACAAGGTACAGACACTAGAGCAGAATACCAATCACTTAAACCCATTCTCTTCTTCTCTTAAATCTCTCTCCCCTAAACCTGACCTATAACTTGCTTTATTGCTTTTAAAATCCTTTGAGTATTATTTTGGTTAAATGAATGACTATAATTTCACAATGACCCGTGATCTCGTTTTGATTAAGTGCTTTAAACATTTTGGGTATCTTTG